TTGTAAACACTGGTTTATAGCTTAGTGTGAACCCAGTCACACCATTGGTTCAGTGAAGAAATCGTAGCTGGGTGATGTATGAACCATTCTGTCCTTCACAATTTCTTCAGTAAAACTTCCACTGCTGAAGAGCTGTGCAATAAAGCTGTGGCTTGTTAGACCTGGTTGTAATGTTTTTGGCCTGGGATGGGAGATTGGATTTCAGATAGTATCTTGGGAGATGCCACACCTTCCCTGAGAGGAAGATCAAGATGCCAAAAACAATGAACACATATTTTTAAAAAATAAGGCCTTTCCATACTTTCATTTTTAGCACAATAAAAGTGCAGTTGTCCATTTATTCACACAGAGAAAGAATTTGGCAGTGCCATTTTTTGTTTAGTGATTCATAGAATGAAACAATGGCGTTGATGTCTGTATTTCAGGGCCATGTGGGAAAAGCCATTTTAAACCACAGATGAGTGTCACAAAGGTACAATAGGCTGATATCTATGGTTTCCAAGATTCTGGAAACCACTGTGCCTGTTTTCATGATCTGCAAACAGACCCTGTGTTTGTGCTCTTGCATGTTCCCAAGTGCCTCTTCCCACTTGAATCAGAAGCCCTGCACAGCCCCAACCTGGTTAGAATGTCAGAATGTAACTGGGGAAACCTGGTTCACATCCCATTCAATCAGGAGCTACACTGAGAGTTCTGAGATTAACATGGAAATAAGAGGCAGATGGTTCAAGGGCTTACAGAGAAAAAGCACAAGGTAGGCACTGTTCATTACTGATAATTAGGAAACTTGATATGTTATTTCAGTGTGTTTTAAAACAACATCAAACAAAGCTCTCAACATAGCAGCATGAACTGGGAAAATGAAGGGAACATGGAAACAAAAACATTGGAAAATAAAATACATCAGACAGAGAATTTACAGAGATTTTATTGGACTTAAAGATGCCTCTGTGTTGTTACGAAATAAGGAAAGAATCTGAGCTCTTGCATCCTCTATTCAAATTATAGTACAGTATGACATGGGAAGTGCTTGAAGGAGAACAAAAGATCTGCCTCCAACACTGTAGCAGGAACACAACAGTTGGTGGCACCAGCGTGGTCTCCATTCGATGCATTTAGTCTTACACAAACTTTATTCAGTCTTGGTGATAGTAATAGAATAACAGAGTTGGAAGGGATCTTGGAGGTCTAGTAGTCCAACCTTTGCTCAGGCAGAAAACCTTATACCATTTCAGACAAAAGGTCCAATCTCTTCTTTAAAACCATTGGGTGTTGGAGCACCCAAAAGTTCTGGAGGGAAGTCATTCCACTGATTAATTGGAAATTTCTCCTTAGTTCTAGGTTGCTTCTCTCCTTGATTAGTTTCCACCTGTTGCTTTTTGTCCTGCCTTCAGGTGGTTTGGAGAATAGGTTGACCCCCTTCTTTGTGGCATTAGATATATTAGAAGACCCTTAATCCTTCTTTTCATTAAACTAGACATACCCAATTCCAGCAACCATTATGTTTTTGTTGTGGTTTGCTGGCAGCCGGTGCAGATGGCAGAAGTATCAGACAGTATGGACGAAAGGGAACCAGTCAGGGAGTCTGGAGAGGACTTGGACGAGGGTCCTGCATCCGATGCAGGAATGGGGCCAGGACCATCTGAGAGTGGAATGCTGCCTTCGGAGCCTTCGGAGTCTTGCAGCAGCGAAGCAGAGGACTCAGGAGTAAGGCTGGGAGGTGATTGCCCCTCCCATCAGGGATAAAAGTCAGCCCTCGGTGATGTGCTCTTTGCAGGAAGCAAGTTCATTAGATTCTGATTCCTCGTTGAAGCCTTGCGAACTCTGGTTTGTCTTTGCTGGAACTTCTGTCAGTATATATTCTAATTAAGTGGACTTCTGTTTCTTGGCAGCCTTCTACAACCCTGAAAGACGTGAGTTTATTTCAGAGAATTGTGTCTAATGAGTCTTGGCTGGGAATGCAAGAAATTCCCAGTGTCACATTAAAAAAGGTTTGATTTTACACCCAGTTTGTGTTTCCTTAATTTGGTTGAAGCCTGGGTCAGAACAGTTTTAGCCTCCAGCCTCTAATCATTTTTGTTGCTCTTCTCTGTACTCTTTCTAGAGTCTCAGCATCTTTTTTACATCATGGTGACCAAAACAGGATGCAGTATTTATTTATTTATTATTTACATTTTTTATTATTCTTCCAAGTGTGGTCTTACCAAGGCATTATAAAGTATCAGTACTTCGTGTGACCTATCCCTCTGTTAATTCAGCTGCAGAGTAATACAGTATTATAAAAGTTTTAGTCCAGTTGGGACTTGGGCCCTCACAAAATCTTGAACTATTGAATTTAACACTTTATTTAGCCAAGTGTGATTAAAATCCCTCATAATCTTGGGTCAATCTGAATGTGTTTTGGGCTACTTCTTTCACATATCTGAACCAGCTTGACCATTGATCACAAGTCAGGGATGCCTGATGAGAGAAGGGTTAATTAGCAAATGGAAGAATTTGTATATCAAAAATGGTTGTTGTGGCCCAAGATGAGCAGCCTTCAACATAGTTTGCACAACTAAAGAATTAGTTCCACACCCAGCAATTCAAATACTAACTTTTCCAGCAGATGTTGCTATGGTGAATTATTTCTACCTTGGCTGTAAAATGAAAGTGTTGTGAAGCTAATTTGTTTTTTGAGATGCTCTGGTTCTCAGGGGCTTATGGATGCGTTATTGGTCAGTTTGTGGAAACACTGGCCTCACTTTCTCTGTAACCACACCAGCAGGGTTTTCCAGGGGGAAAGGGTTTGGCTGACTTTTCAACACTTCACATAAATAACTTGTGGGGTTTTTGCAGTCAGCCAAATGAATGCGGTATGAAATAAGGATACAAGAAAGTAATTTATTTACCTATAACATCATGCAATGTGTCTAATTTTCTGATATCACATTCTTGGCCTCTTAAAGTAGAGCTGTAATTTTTTTCACTTGTTTCAGGAGTTTTCAAACTGCTTTGGGGGTTTTCAGGAAGAACCAGAACCACCTTACAATAATAGGCTGGAATGGGACAAATCATCCCTGATCATTCCAAAATCTTCCCAATCACAACTTTTTATCAACTGAATCGACTTCAGTGATTTCCTGCCTTTGCACTTACCTCACCCTCAAGTACAAATAAGTGAAACTTGATAAACCCCAATTTTAGTTTTGCTGACAATGATACAAATGCAATGAAGCAGAAAACCCTCATTAGGATGAGTAGCCTCGTTGCACAGCCATGCCAGTTTTTGTTCTTCCCAAAGGTTTTGTTGTATGGCCATGCAGAAAGTCTTCATATTACTATAGCAACATGGCTAATCTGCTTTTGGTGGTTATTGTTCCCAAATGGCTTGTAGCTGCTCATACAGATGTCCATCTGTATTTGGAAAAGGCAAGACCAGCTTTAGATTACAGTCTTAGTAAACCAGTCTTAGATTACCAAGCCAAGCATATCATTTTGATCGCAAAGCCTCTTCCCCCTATTTCAGAATTTGTAAGGAAGTCCACCCACCCCTATATAAGAGTTTGCCTTTACGTATTGAATTACTCTGTGTCAAATTACTATTCTGTTTTGGAGTAAGGAGCGGTTATGTGCTTAAATGACTTTCACTCTAACAGATGGCTCTCACTCTTCCCACTGCATTCCACAATGTTTTCAGAAATTTAGGACCACAGCAAACCCTGCCTTGCCTGTTATCCAAGAAACCCTAGGCCAGTGATGGCCAGCCTTTTGGCTTGTCAAAAATTTGGAAAATGCTTAACTTGACTCTGCTGGTGCATCACACACACACACACACACCACCACCACCACCACCACCACCAAGCAAGACAAACACCTCCCCCCTAGGCTACCCTGAGCAGAGACACTTGGTGACAGCTCAGGATGGGGGTGAAGTAGAGGCCTAGGCCTTCACTTCAGCCTGAGTAGCACCACCGCCACTCAAAAAGGCCAGCATGTGCCCCCCTCAAGGGGGGGGGGTTGCAAGCCTTGGGGAACGGTGTGTGCCACATGGCTCAGAGTTCCCCAGAAAACTGTGTGAGAACGGGGCCTACTTTTGAGAATAGTCGGATATTGACGAACCTGACATGTCACCCAAAACATGGCATGTCACCTTTGCTACATATGTTATAGTTTCACCATCACTGTCCTAGGCCTAGAGTCTAGACCATGCCCTGACCTGGGAATTATTGTTCATATAAATTGTGGATTCCTTTGTCCACTTTGATTTGCCTCATACTACTCTCTTCCCAGGCATCCAATTTCGCAGGAATCTCTGAAGTTTATTCTCTGACTGTATTCTCTGAAGAATATAGGAACAGCAATAGCACTTAGATTTATATACCTCTCTAAGCGGTTTTACAGAGTCAGCCTATTGCCTCCAGCAATCTGGGTCCTCATTTTACCCACCTTGGAAGGATGGAAGGCTGAGTCAACAGTGCGCCTGGTGGGATTTGAACTGCCAAATTGCAGGCAGCCGGTAGTCAGCAGAAGTAGCCTGCAGTACTACACGCTAACTACTGTGCTACCAAGGCTCTATGAAGTGGTTGCAGATATTAATGGTGGCTTTATATCAGCCTGTCCTTTCTCCTGCACCTCTTTTTGGAAGAAACTTTTGCACAATTTGTTTTGTGAAATGCAGCCACCCTCATTCCCATTTCCACCTCCAGAATTGCCCAAGAGTGCTTTTGTGTCTTGTTTCTACTCCTCTTTCTGTCCCCTGGAAGCCACCACTACCCAGTTAGAGCTCTGGTATCTTGCTCACATGCAGTGTCAAGGAGGCAGCTGGAAATCCATTCCCTTATGAAGTGGCCTGTTGTTACCGACCCGTTTCTAGAACCAGGTTCTCGACTGTCCTTCAGCTAGCAAATGGGATGTCACAATTCGACTACTCTTCCCCACTTAAGTGGCTCATCTTGCATAGACAAATATCACACTGAGAAGTAGTCCATCAAACTTTTGATATATTTGTTCATGGTGTATAAAGTAGATATTGTGGTTTTTTTTTAAAGAAAAGATGGACAGACAAAAATTTAAAAAAATACAGAGATGCTCCATTGGCTTAAATGATACCAGCCTGCATCTGGTTGGTTCTCTCTTAAGTTTGCATGACATGGATTAAACTTAAGTGCCTCTTCCCTGGGAAATGCTTATGCATAACAGCAATGTGCTACTAAGGATGTCTTAGAAGCAGATGTGAGCCATTTGAAACATGATAGAATGCTGTCGCTTTGTGCTGCTGGTTCCTTTTTTTCCATTATTATTATTTTTTGAAAAAATAAAAGTTTGCAGTTGCTGATTGGTGCTCATGCCACTGCAGACAAGGTAGAGATTATCTTACTCTCTCTCATGTCTTTCTTGCCAGGACTCACTCCCCCAGTTAGTTCTGAGGCATAGAAGATAAAATGGAGACAGAGTTTTAACGCAGCCCCATTTGGGGGAGAGGCTATTTAATAACATGGCCAGTAACTGGTGAACAGGGTTAACCCTCTTACCATTTGTCAGAAGATGTGGCCAATTGTAAAACGTTAATTTAAAAATGAACAATCCCAAAACTACATTGCTGTTTTTCTCCTCAACCCAACGAAGTAGGTCAGAAAGCCGAAGGAACAGCTGTCTTGGCTACCATTTTTCTTCCCTAGGACCAGCATGGCACAGGCTGAATGCAATTGTGGTGCTTTAACAATGACTACACTTCGGTGCTGTCTGTATCTCCCCACCCAGGCAGGCACTGAGATGGCACCTCAAAGTGGCTTAGAAGTTTACTCAGCTGGCATCAGAAGAGCATCAGCTTAAGGGAAATATAGGGGGCATGATTTCCTTTCTGAATCAGGGCTCAACGTGTTCAGTTTTTAGTTTGTCAGGCTTGTTGACTTCCATTTAGATGACGTTACCACTGAGCAAGGGGCTGCTTTCCCCACTGGCCCTCCGGCCAAACGCCTGGCCAAGGAAGAGGCGTACAGCTGTGCGGTCAGGAAACCAGTTCCTTGGAGAAGTGCCAGCAGACATCATGGCCCGTAGAGGGATGTGTCTCAAATGCCTGTAACCAAGGAAGACATTAGTAACAATCTTGAGTGACATTTGAGAGCACCCAAAGCATCTCCGTGTTCGTTACTCTGCTTGCTCTTTTGAACAAGAATTCTTAACATTCTTTGTCTGGCAAAAGAGAAGAGCTCAACCTGTAAAGATTTAATCTTCTGCTGTTCAATGGCCCTATGAGGGATAAAATCCTCCACCAGTTGGACTCTGCACAATGCCTGCCATAAACAATACAACAAGAGTGAATGGCCATTCAGAGTGGTTAGGTTTTAGTTGGAATAGTACCTAGAAGGCCTAGGGAACAAGTTGCAAGATACTATAAGAAGCCCTGAAAAAAACAAGATAGCCAATGAGAGCGATTAATGAAATTCTGGGGAGGAATATTTGTCGTGTAGAAGCTTCACAAATCAAAAGAACTCCTTTGCTATGTGTTTAGGCAAATTGCTCGTGTTACTGATTTCACCTTAGTAAAGCTGCTCCATCTCTTCTGTTGCCTCTCTAAATGTCAAAGTACATAATGAAGAGTTTAATAGAGAGAAGGAAGTCTGTACTTATAGCAGAACTCATCTGCGGCATGCCTAGCTCAAGGATTGTCACTACAGGGCAAACCTTTGCTTGCAATCTTGGAGAGTCATTATCGGTCAACGTCCAGCCAGATACTCTTTTCTCTGTTCTGATGCAGTAACTTAACATGCTCCAAAGATTAATCACCTTTCTATTTCAGATCCATCCCAGATGCCATAAGGACTTGATTTTTGTGGGTGAGCAGCAAAAGCACAGATCCCCTTGCATCATCTCCTAGCCAAAGCAGAATATGAACATTAGGCCAGGATTTAACCCGCAGCTCTTGTGCTTGGATGGGAAATGTCAGATTGTCCTATCCTCAGTCAGATGTTAGTGGCTACTGTAGCTCCTAAGTTAGTATATAATATGTACATAGTACATTCACTCCTGGCTAATGATGAACAACCTAAATATGAATGGGAGTAGACTCACCTATAGGTATAGATAGCAGCTCCCATGGCAGCAATAACCAGCAGTGCTCCAACTACAAATGTTATTTGGGCTGAAGCTTGATTTCTTTCTGCTATAAGAACAGAGGAATTGGTATTTAGTGGTGTTTATAATAAGGATTGTATGCTGTTCCTTTAGAAATATGGGACAAACCATTCCCTTAGAATAGGCCTATGTTTCTAATGGAAAAATAAACAAGCATGATTGTGAGCAACTCTATCTCAACTTTACCATGCTTCACAAAGAGCAAAAAACTAGGGAGAAATTGGTTAGGTTGACACATGTTGTATTAAACCATAACACAAGTTTTTTGTTTTTAGCTTAGATGTATGTCAGCATAGCCATTGTCGTTAACTATGGCTTAGAACGATGCATAAACCCAACCATTATGTTTGACCTCTGGTTGTCAGCCTATTAGAAGGAGGGATTGCAATAAAACTGCTGATAACATGAAGAGAAACAGAAGGAACGTTTCCTACAGAAGACTTAGGGTCACCATAGAATAGTGGGCCTTACTCTGAACGCTGACTTGGGTGCTGGCAACAGCCAAGGTGTTGGCATCAGCCAGTGAGATGTTGACGCAGTAGAGGCCAGATTGGTTGAAGGCCTGGCGCAAAACAAACTGGCAATCTGGGCTTGGCTGAACAGGATTGCACACACTCTCCTGGACTATCACACAATCAGGATCTGAAATGGTTGTGCAGACTTCTTCAGGGAGGCTACAAGCAAAAAAAGTCTACTTATTAGTCCATCCATCAAAAAGGGCCAGTTCCCTTCCCAGAATCATACATATGATGAACACTCCCCTTGGCAAGATTTCCACATGACTGCTATGCTGTTCATATTGCTATTCAAAAATCTTTTCCACCACCCACCATTCTGAGGGGCTTGTTTCACAGCTCCTGTTGCTGGATGTCCCAATATCCTTTCTTTCTGCTCTGTGGCCCCAGATGCTTCAACCACCACTTTAAGAAGGTAGGAATCTATCAGAGTCATTATTTTCAGCTATGAAACCTACCTTCCCTGGCAGGTCACAGTGAGATCTACCGCATTCTCAGCAATAGCGGGCGTCAGTGGCATTACCTGCACAATTTCCACACTCTCTATGCCCTCTGCAATAAAAGAGAACACAGAAATGTTTAGGCAATATAGATGTCCTATATTTCTCCCTCCCACCATCCTGTGAATCATTCCTGTACGTGGAGGCCTTTTAAACCTGGCCTCTACAAACCAAATTTAATTGGAAGAAAATGTTTGATTTTTTTCAAATAAAAAGGACATAGTTCCAACAGAAGAGACTATTGGTAGCTCAGGTTTGAACTGTGGAGTCCTTGGTACTCTCTGAACTTGATTATTTGCTTGCAAGTAGTTTATTACCCAGTAAAGTAACATCAGCAGTGCAGAAGCAAACAACCATGCTTGGAGGGCACTAAAGACGGCACAAAATGGACCTGCTTTTAGATTTAGAAAACAGAGTGTGTGGAATGGACATTTTAACTTTCACAGAACACCTTGTGTAACTTTTAGCCCCAGACATGTCATATTATTCTTGCCTTCTATTGTAAATGTGCTCTGACCACAATTCTCTGCTAGTTTTGAACCTAATATGTGGCAAAGATTGGATTGGGGTAGATTGTCTTATGGTGATCACATTATTCTGTCACCTAAAGATAGATGATTCTGCATGTGGTTTAGGTCCACCCTCCTTGCCTAATGATGCCCAACAGCCTCTGGCCTAATTGGTGTGGGTGCTCAATGGTTCCTATTACCCATCATTCCCTAGACTTACGGATGATGTCCAGATCAGTGGCAAAGGTTCCATAACGATAGAGGAGGCATCCACTGGGTGCCTGGCGTTTCACCAGGAGCTGCACCACATCTCCTGCGACTGTTCCTGTGGCAGGCATAACCGAACTCACCAGATTGATGGCTGCTGTATCTTCAGAGTTATCTACTGGGGGGAAAAAATACTGGAAAGATATTACAATATTCATGGATAAAGGCTTATTAGTATTCTCCCATTACTTCAGATTGTCTCAATCTCAAAAATAGTATTTGCTGGAAGGGATAGCCATAAATTTAATGGACTGCCTCAGAAATAAACTAGTGCTTTACAGACATTTTGAGCCACAGCTTCTGACAACCCTTGTCCCTGGCTCTTGCCAGTGGGCTGATGGCAATTGAAATTAAATCTCTAGAGGATACTAGGTTACCTACTCCTGTTTAGAATAAGCAAGAGGAATACAATAACTGATTAGAATAGGTAAGCATTGCTAAGGCATAAGGAGGGGGACTGAGGAGAAACATGAAATATTTGTCTGGATGAGGTCTGTCCCTTTTGTCTATCTGTGTCTGTATTCATAATGTCACAGATACATATGCAAATGGTGGTGCTAATTTTACGACAAGTTTTGCCATTCTGATGAAACATCTGAATTCATCACAAACTTGATGCTTTCAGAACTATTACAGCAGGGCTGTCAAACTCCCTACCTGCAGGCTGGATGCGTTACGCGCTGGCCACTCACACACCCGATTTAGCAAAAGGGGGGAAAATCACGATATGCTACCTGACACCGCTGTAATGACGTGAATTTGACGCCCCTGTACTACAATTTGAAGAAATTGAATATACAATCCTTACATCAGAAGGGATCAAGCTGGGGAGGGCAGTAGAAGGGTATTCAAGAAAAGGAACACTATCATGATGTCAGTCTTTCAAAATAGTCCAGTCTAGGAGAGCAAAGTCATGCAGGCTAATACTGCTTTTATTATAAGCTCATAGAAACAGAATCTTGGAAGTCTGAAACTGCTTCTCCCCTCCCTCCCTTTATCTTGAGATGTTTTTTTCAGATTACAATTCTGGCCTGGACTCAATTTTCTTTTATCTGACCATTGTCTTGGTAGTGACTTTTCTTCTTGAGTCTCAAGTTCATTCCTTCTTCCCATTACATATGCTTTCTGCGTATGGGTTGAAAACCTCATGTCCCTCAAATGTTTCTGAACCACAAATCCTAGAAGTGCTGTCTAGCATGGCCAGCAGCAAGAAATACTCTGAGCAGTATATGGAGGGCCTCATCTCTGCTCTAGAACTGCCCTAAAATTACCTTTTTAATCAATCAGAAACAATAATTAATCAGAGGAAACTTTGCAGAAGCTTCAGATGGTGACCTGTTCCCCCAATTGATTTAGATCATTCACCTATCATATTATCCGCTACAAATAGTTTTCCATTCTTGGCTTCTAAAACTTTCTATGGTGAGCCTCAACTGGGATTCTTTCTCTGTTCTAAACCCTTCACATGCAGATAACAGTAGAAAGCACAGCCAAAAGCAGTAGGCTATTCTCAGAGGCAAAGGAATCTCTTGCCAGGCCTACCTCTTGCCAGAGACACTAGCTGTGATTTTTAAAAAAAGTGTTGTCGAATACCTGAAAGGACAATTGTAGATGCAACGGGGGACAAAACAGTGGGTTCTGGTGTGCCTGGGTCATTCTCAGGTGCTATTGTAGATGAAGAACCTGCAGCCACAGAGCCTGGTAGAGATTCAGATGTTGCGGTAGATGCCATGGTATTTGGGAGAGATGCAGACATGGCAACAGTCACACCCTCACTGTCTTCAGTGGCATCAGATGATGCAACAACTGTAGGTTCCACAGAAGCAGCCGCTAAATCTGTTTCTCCAGGCCCAGCACTGATATTTGCAACAGGAACTGTGGCTACAGATGTTGCCTCTTCAGTTACTGTTGGCGGTACAGTGGAAAGGACTGAAGTCGCAGAAGCCGGGACTGAAGATGCAAAAGATAGGTGGGTTAGAAGAAACAGATTATGCAGGAAAGATACTAAATGTAATTTCTATAGGATAGTTGCAACCTACTGAAAGACCATACTAGAAGACCCAGTTCTTCTGGTATAATTCATAACATGTTCCATTAAGGGCTGGTGTGAACCCTGCATTTTATTATTTTATATAAATCTTCCCGTTCAGTTTAGCATAGGCTGGTTGTTGATGAAATCAGCTTGGCAATAGGATTGTTTCATGAACTTGGAACTTTTCCCAAATGGATGTTCTCAAGATCTGTCAGGCTTTGATTTATGCAGGCTCATGGGAATTCAATACAGGTAGGTCAGCAAAGGCTGACAAAGAATATGAGTGCCACCGAGAATATGGAGTGTCAAGGATAGTTTTTGCCTGGGAAAATATATATATTCCAATAACATTCAGAAACACTTTTGTGGATTCAAGTTTTTAAAACCAGAATATAGATCAGGGTGTCCAA